TGAAAGAATTTAATCTTGATTTTGTAAATGAGGATAGTCTGTATGAAGGGTTTTCTAGTGTACAAAGTGATGTGAATGTGGTAAAAACAGAACTATACGTGTAGAACAAAGTTGGCTCAATGCTTTCAGTGATTTAAGAAACAAATTAATGTGCCAAACCTTAATAAGACCTTAAGTTATGTTTTAAGCATCCCAGGCACAAATGCCCATACTGAAAGAGTTCTTTCACAGTAGCAAATAAATGGACTGAAAAGAGAAATCAGAGCAGCTAAGAACTACTTAAGTCGCAGCTAATGGTAGCAATTAATTGTGATTATAGCACCAAAGAGTTTTTTAAATTTGCCCAAGATAAAAAAAATGCTTCTTTCTGCAGCACCAGTGAAAAAATTGTCAACCTGAATATTATATACAATGTAAATTAATTGTTTTAATATTATCCATTCCTCCAACATCTGCTCAGAGACGCTGCGCCGATAAAAAATGTGCAAAATTTGTCGCGACTAAAGGCTCCCTTAAATTCAAGGCCGAAAGTTGGTCACCCTAGTCGGTTCGATAAAAGTAACAATCTGGGACAAAGAACCTCTCATTAGATTTCAGACGTGTCTCTGAAAACAGGGCCACATCTGTGTCTAGGTTTTGCAGCGGTTTACTGAGCTCATTTTCCTATTGTAACTCTGTATAATTATATCACTGAAATACATTTATCTGAGTAATCTCACGATTGACTTCAGAAGACCTGAATTTTAATTTTAAATTGATTCCACAATCCTAAACCACAGACTATCTGCTTGGTATACACAAGTATCCCATCCCCGTCCTTCGGGATACAACAAACCAGGGTTTTTTTTTTCCTGATGTCAGGAGGCTTGACACAACTTTTGGAAGACTTTTCAAAATTTCAAGCCAGCAGAGGAAGACTGAGAATTCTGCATGAGGGACTGTAGTGGCTTTGACCTGCTGTCTCATTTACCAGCGGCAAGAATTTCACGTCTCCGCATCTCGACCATTCACCATATGACGTTTTTTCGCCTTTCAGGAGGGAGTGTAGTGGCTTTGACCTGCTCTCTCATTGACAAGTTGCCTCAGCATCCTTCATCACCCCGATTATGCTTAACGTCAGACCCGCAGAACGTTTTGATGTACAGGAAGTTTTAAGTAGCACGCGTGAGGAGCGCGATGCAAGGGCTGTCAGTAGAGAACACCACAAGTTGTTTCAATTACAGCCTTGAAGGATACGTGCCAAGGTTTTGTCGGCAAGGACCGGTGTGCGGGAAATGTGGTCTAAAGGGACACACTACCGATTTATGTAGAGCTCCAAGTAAGGAATGGATCAGGTCGAGCAACGAGGGAATGGAAATTTCCAGCAACCCGAAGATTGCCCAGCCCAGAAAGTAAAGGGTTGGCCACAGTTCGAAGGTGATATCTGCCTGAATCGCCAAGAATTACATTCAGACACTGTAGTGCTGAGTTCGAACGAGAAGTCACACAGTAGCCCCCTGTTCAAAAATAAGGAACGTGTGAAGCACGTAAGGTCAAATTTAGACACGGTGACATTAGCAGTTGATGTGCGCATGACGGGAAAACTGAAATTTTTGGACGATACGACTGTAGATATTTCTGTCATTAGAGACTCCAGTTTGAGGTCCGGATGCGACTTCGCACTTGATAACGTAACAGAAATTAAAGTAATTTGAAATGGAGTCATGAAAACCAAGGGCATGATATTGTGACGTGCTGAGCCATGGATCACCCCTACCTCCCCAGCGGTACGTGGCGGTGACGTAACGTTCGCGTTACAACGGTAATAGGCAAGTTCCCGCCCCGCCACTCCCCTCCGCGGTGACATCACGCGGTGACGCGGTCACGTCACGCGGTAACGCGCAACGCTAACGTACCCGTAATCAACGTCCTACTGTGACGTGGCACTCATTACGCCACAGGCAAGCACTGCAGCTATATAAGTGAGCTGCACAGTGCGTATCCATCAGTTCGAGTTCCAGTGTGGCTACCGCCGAAGACATTTCCGAGTTATAATGTGGACATCGCTGAGTTAAGTAGTCAACGAGCGAGTGCGTTATCGACAGTTCTCCAGTCAGCCGACTATAGTTGGAGTATAGCAGCCGTCGCGGAAAGAAGATCCGGACGTGAGTGTGATTGTGTAATTGGGAGCGTGTGATACAGCGATACCTAGCTCCCCGACTGTAAGCGTGTAGCCTACTGAAGACAGACTGAACTGATTTGCGCATAGGGTTATAAATCGTGAAACCCCGCAACAGTGGTAACAGATTAATGCGATTAGGGTTATAAAGTGTGAAACCCCGCAACTGTGTGATAATTAATTGTAGCCGTTATTTGTAGATTGTTCAATAAACCAGTTAACGATCTCTACGGCGTCTTCAGTAACGCAAACACGTTACAATATATTCACAGTTATTTACTGATACACAGGAAACTATGCAAGATTTTCATGTCATAGGAGACAGTTTTCAATTACACTGTGACGGCATTTTAGGACGTGACTTTTGGGAAAGCAAGAAGGCAGTCATTAGTTACTATAACTGTGAAATCCTGATGGAAGATGTCTTAATTAAATCGGCCCTATAGACAGTGGCACGAAGGACAAAATTGTAAATGTTATCATTGAAAGCCAGATCAGAAGATGATGTGATGCTACCCACCACATGTTGAGGACAGGGCTCGATATCGAGAAGGGAAATCATACCAGGAATACTTGGCAGAACCTCTTGCTAGGGAAATTGAAGGGGCCTGTGTAACGAGTACAGTGAATACATTGGAATAAGACGTCACATTGGAAGCGACCCTTGCTGAATTAGAGGAACCCATTCAATCAGAAGCCATGATATTTGCTACAGCATTAGTAGACAATAAAACCAGGGTGTAAAAATTGTGTAAGGAATTAAGGACAGACCACTTAAAGAGTGGGGAAAGGGTATCGTTATGTACAATCTGTGAAGAGTATAATGACGTGTTTCATTTGCCAAGTGATAAGCTAACCTTCACCACTGTAGCTATCGTGACATACCCACGTCTACAATAGATCGAACCAGAGCGATCATCAAGTCCTACAGAATTCCGGAAATTCATGAGGATGAAGTTAACAGGCAGATGGAACAGATGTTACTCAACGACTACACCGGATGTAGCATAGGAAAAGTATTCACTGGACATAGTTGGGCCCTTGACTACTATAGCATATGGAAACAAATAGTTCTTAACATTTCAGAACGAGTTGTCTAAATTCATATTAGCTGTACCCACCCAGCAACAAGATGCAGGAACAGTAGCTAAAGCTTTTGTAGATGAATTAGTGTTAAATTTCGGGACTTCACAGGTACTCTTGACAGATAAAGGCTCCAACTCTCCGGTGAACTACGTATTTGCTAACGTGTGGAAGCTCTTGAAAATTAAGAGAATTAAGACAACGAAGGGTTAAACCGCACTTATAGGGTATTAGCTGAATATCTTATATGTTACATTTTGGAACACAAGACTTAATTGGGACAAATGGATACCTTACGCCTTACGCCACTCTTCTATTCAACACGATACCTCACACTTCCGAGGAATGCGGTAGCACAGTTGCTTGAAGCACTATGTTCAAAGCTGGAAGATCGCAGGTTCGATTCTCGATGTCACTGGATTTTCTTTCGATTTACCTAATCCTTCCAGCCGCAGTATGCCCTGGGATCGACTCAGCCTCTAACAGAAATGAGCACCAGGAATCTTCCGGGGGGGGGGCAAAGGGCGGCCAGCTCATAAGACTAACAACCTCACCGCCATAAGTAAGCCGATTGTCTAGAGCAGTGGTAGACAAACTACGGCCCACGGGCCAGACGCGGCCCCCTGATAGGTTCTATCCAGCCCGCGAAATGATTCCTAATCTGACGAATGAAAAGAAGAATTAAGGAAAATAAACAATTCTGGATTATTTTCTTCTTCTTTCCTCCCTTTTATGTTTAGCCTAGTGACCACAGATTAATATATTTACTTATCCACTATGGTATTGGAATGCTATGTTAACATTTGAGAGTGAGGCACTGGCTGCTGGCATTTTTGTAGCGAAGGGTAAAACTGGCAACGGAGCCTCCTCGCTGTACCCCCTCCACATTACATCCACTGCAGCTGGCTACTAACACCACATTCTTTTATTCAGACCCGGTCGCATTATTGTTGTAGGTGTTTGCTAGTTTTACTGTGCACATTCGTGAAACATTTCAGCCCTAAGATGTCAACTAAAAAACGTAAAGTTGATTCAGAGTGCCGTGTTTTCAAAGATGAATGGACTTGGAAGTACTTTTTCACAGCTTTTAAGGATAAACCACTGTGTCTTATCTGCAATGAAACCACAGCAGTCTACAAAGAATACAACATTTCCCGGCACTTCATCTCTAAGCATAAGAATGCTAATTATGGAGCCATGACCGAAGATGAAAGGAAACAAAAAAGAAGACCTACATAAAAAACTGTCAGGTGAGCAAAGTATTATTAAGAAAGTAAATAGTTCTCAGAAAGCAGCTACACATGCAGGTTATGTTGTAGCATACAATATTGCTAAAAGTAACAAAGCTCTCTCTGATGGGGAGTTTGTTAAACACTGCATGCTCAAAGTTTGTGATATTTTATGTCCTGACAAGACAAAGGATTTTGAAACTGTAAGCTTATCTCGAAAAACAGTGACTTCTAGAATCGAAGTCATAGATAAAAACATATTATCACAGTTGGAATCAAGGATTGGTCAATTTAAATTCTGCTCCATTACTATGGATGAAAGCACTGATATAAATGATACTGCACAGTTGCTATTATTTATAAGAGGTGTTGACGAAAACTTCTCTATTACAGAGGAATTAGCATGCATGCGGTCGTTAAAGGGAACTACAACAGGGTCAGATATTTTTCATGAATTTCTGGAAGGCCTTTCAACTTTGAAAGTACCTATAACTAGCATATGCAGTATTACGACAGATGGAGCACAAAGTATGACAGGGACAAAATCTGGATTTGTTGGGATCTTTAATCAAGAATATCCCGAGAACAATGTTGTATTTCTGCATTGCGTCATACATCAAGACGCCCTGTGTAAATCTGCCTTGGATATGAAACCTGTGCTTGATGTCGTTGTGAAGCTTGTTAATGCCATTCGATCTCGAGGGCTTACTCACAGACAATTTCGAGAGTTTCTTGACTCCATGCAATCTGAATACTCTGATTTACTGTACTACTCGAAAGTAAGGTGGCTTAGAGCGGGACGCGTCTTCGAGCGAGTTTGGCAGCTGAAAGACGAAATAGTGTCATTCTTCCAAGAGAAACAGTGGTCTGTAGAATGTGAAATGCTGGAAGATACTGCATGGCTTTCGGACTTTGCATTTTTCACAGATCTTCTCTGCCACCTGAACAAGTTGAATGTCAAGATGCAAGGAAAAAATCAATTTATTGATGATATCTGGGGCCATATCAGAAGTTTTAAACTACAACTTGTTCTGTTTGCAGATCAGCTAGCTAAGAATGACTTGTCTCACTTCCCGAGGTTAAATTCAATAGCCCCAGTGATGAAGGACAAGCTTAGGAGCTACGAGGATAGCCTGAGAAGACTCCGTGGTGAATTTGAACGAAGATTTCAAGACTTCAGTGCCATTGAAAAAGACTTGGATGTTTTCAGTATGCCTTTTAATGTAGACTGTGAAACAGTGAAACCGGACTTGCAACTTGAATTAATTGAGTTGCAATGTAACACTCAACTCAAACAGTTGTTTCTCAATGTCCCAAAATTAGAGTTCTACAAGTCCTTGTCGAAATCCAGTTTCCCAAATCTGATATCTCATGCCCAGAAAGTCACTGCTATGTTTGCTTCATCCTATATATGTGAACAGGTGTTTTCTACAATGAAACTTCGAAAGAGTTGTATTAGAAACAGACTGACAGATGAGCATTTAACTTCACTTCTGAGAATCAGTGCATCCCAGTTCGAACCAGATTATGAGAAAATTTTGGAAATGCAGTCACAGTTTCATTCATCACATTCTCCTTCATAATCTTTCAATCATTAATAGGGCTTAGTATTACAAGAATTTTGTAAAATCTACCATTATTGTTTTTAATAAATTATATTGGCCTGCCTAAAGTTTTTTCTTTGGTCCCCTCCTAAAAACTTTGCCCATCACTGGTCTAGAGAATGTGGGAGCCTCGACGTCTAGTAACCCTATGGGCCTTCACGGCCTCTTGCAGGGATAGCTTTACCTTTAGCTCATACTTCCACGGGTTTCACACTGCATGAACTGATGTTTGGTAGGAAACCCAATATACCTGGCATGATCCAAATGGAAGACCTGGGCGTGCAAGTATACGTATTACAGGGTGAATCGTATAGAACCGGCCCGATGAATTTGCTAATAATTCCGCAGTTGATGCATATAACCGCTCACAACTACGACATAATCCGTGGGCCGTGCGAATGATGAATGGTGTGCGCATGATCCGGCAAGTGACAGCCCTTATGCTGCAAGGTCAAGGACCTTCAGGGACAATCCCGAAACGTGTCTGCAGTGTGCAGGCTACAGTCATGGAGTACACTGTTGAACAGCGAGTATTTCTCGTGCGCACGTACTGGGTGACAGGTTCGATTGCGAACACACAGTTGGAATTCAGGAGGAAGTTTGGAGTTCGCAAGAAGCCAGCGAAATCGACTATACAGTCCTTGGCTCAGAAATTGGAAAGGGCAGGGACACTTTTAAGTGAACGTGGTAAAAACCGCCCAGAAGAAACGATTGCAATTGTGCGGGACAGGTTATTGCAGTATCCCAAGAAATCATTACGACGTCTAAGCCAGGACACCGGGTATTCTTATTCAACGTGTCAACGGGCTGCAAAGAAAGCGAATCTTCGTCCCTACAAGATCACCAGTGTTCAGGAATTGGGTGATGTTGATAAAGATAAACGGGTACGGTACTGTTTATGGTTTCGGGAATTCGTGCAAGATAACCCCAGAATTCTGGATATCACTAGGTTTAGTGATGAAGCATGGTTCCACCTATCAGGATATGTAAACGCACAAAATTCCAGGATCTGGGCGTCTGAAAACCCACATGAGATTGCAGAATCACCACTACACCCACAAAAAGTGGGTGTGTGGTGCGCCATTTCTGGTTTACGAATCACTGGACCGATCTTCTTTGACACGACCGTGGACAGCACCTTATACTGCCGTATTTTTTACGATTTCGTGCAGCAGCTGGATGATACAGAACTTACACAGGGTTTTTTCAGCAGGATTCAGCGACGTGCCACACGTCCAACATGTCCATGGAACTGAGTGAGAGCTTCTTCCCCGATCGCGTCATCTCTAAAAAGATGTGGCCCCCCAAATCCCCCGACCTTACCAGCCCGGATTTTTTCCTTAGGGGTTTACTGAAGGACAGGGTGTATGCAAACAAACCACGTACATTACAGGATTTAAAGGACAACATTTCGGCTGAAATCAGGAACATCACTGAAGAAACACTCCAGCAAGTCACGGCGAATTAGCAAACGCGGGTGAAGGCGTGCCTACTTGAAAATGGCGGACACTTTCAACACCTGCTGTGATCACGGCACACAATCCACGATAAGATATGTGTAAATTACTTTAATATCTGTATGGTATATTTTATATTACAGCTCATTTTGTCAGGCCGGTTCTATATGAACTGTATGAAGGAAATGCAGTGTAGGCTTCGGTCCAGTTATGAATTAGCTAAGAGCAGTCTGATGGCTATTGAGGAAAAAACGTGCAGCACAGCAAAACTCTAAACATTCCATTGTTTTCAGTATGGGATAAAGTCTTACTATATAAGGAAAGGATTAGGTGAGGCAGGTCACTGAAACAAACTGTCACCCCCTTGGATAGGACTGTATGAAATAACAGAGGTCAGTGTCATAAATACTACACTGAAATTGCCAATGAACAAGACTCTAAGGGCCAAGCCAACAGAGGAAACCGTTCTTTGGTTGACTGCTAGACTGTGGAACTTCTGCAGCAGCCCCGTGAAACTCCCATAGGGGAGAGGGAAACATGCAGAACAACCATCTATATTCATCAACATGAACTAGGCGGTCTGGAAATGACTCAAATCGATCATTATACACCTATCGCATTCAATCGAATCGCGTAAGTGTGAGCCAATCAGAGGATCTTAAATTTCCGTTGAAGATTTTGGGTGTTGCTCAGTAACTGTGTAGTTTGTCCGTATATGTGTAAGCTATTGAGGTATGTTGTGCACTTAATTAGTAAATAGGGACTCTGATTTGATGTTGTGAAACGAGAGTTGACATTTACGCATGAATTTACATCTGTGTGTTACTTATGTATATGGATTATGCTTACTACGCTCAGTGAAATTAGAAAGAAACATGAAGTCAGTGTTACTACGATACTTCATCCAAATCGTATTTCTGTATTTTAAGCATCTTTCGGTGTAGCCTAAAGAAGGACCGTACAATCTTAAGAAAGTGAGAGTGTACTGTGATTCTGTTACAATTTTTGTATTGTTTCTTGCGGTATACGAGTAAATGGGGAGAATGAAAAAGTGTTTCGCACCAAGGTGCATGTCTTCTAGTGATCACACTGGAATTAAATTCTTCTATTTTCCCAGGGATTCAGCACGGTATGAGCCATATCTGAAATATTATTATAAAATATACTGTAATATTTTGGCCAGTGTTATTAAATGAGCTAAAAATCTTCATTATAATCAATTAATTTCTAATACTAGTAACAAAATGAAAACCACTTGGACATTATAAAATCGGACAANAGTATACGAGTAAATGGGGAGAATGAAAAAGTGTTTCGCACCAAGGTGCATGTCTTCTAGTGATCACACTGGAATTAAATTCTTCTATTTTCCCAGGGATTCAGCACGGTATGAGCCATATCTGAAATATTATTATAAAATATACTGTAATATTTTGGCCAGTGTTATTAAATGAGCTAAAAATCTTCATTATAATCAATTAATTTCTAATACTAGTAACNTCTGTCTATCTCTCTGTCTAAAGTAGAATTTTATGGAATAGTTGGTAAGGCCAATGCATTGATAAAATCCAATGTGAAAGATAGGTACCAAAGGGTAAGTCTATTTTACTCACTGGAGGAATAATTTAACTCCAATATTAATTAATGATCTTGCTCTTTTATATGCTGGATGCCTAGTAGTATACTTTGATGTTTTATTATTGTAGTCTTCTGTCATTAGTGTGCTGCATTCTTTCACATATATATTTGAAAACTGTGTTGAATTGAATTGAATTTATTTACATT